GGGGGAACGAGGCTCAAAGGACCGGGGCGGGGGGGGAGGAACGAGGCTCAAAGGACCTGGGGGGGAGGAACGGGGCTCAAAGGGCCTCGGCGTGGCGCCGGGCGGTGATTAAGCCGCATTGGGACAATCTGTTGTGTAACCCGGGAGAGCGGCTTGTTTATGGGCACCTTCCCGCCCCCCCCCGCTCCGGCCGAGGGGAATGGCTGCTGATTCACCCCCCTTGCCAGAGGCTACGTCTGCATCATCACCAACGTGGCTTCAAAATGAGGAAAAACCGCTGTAAACTACACTCAGCTTGTTGACTTGCACGCCAGATACGCTGAGAGGGGTTTACGCATCTTGGGCTTTCCCTGCAACCAGTTTGGAAAACAGGTATGTTGGGGGAGCAGGGCGAGGGCTCCCCAGGAGCGCAAGGACGGCCCTTGGCTGGCCAGGCTCCCTGCATGGCCCCGGGACACTCGGAGTGCCCCTTCCCTCTGTCAACTTCCTCAGGAGCCTGGGGACAATGCTCAGATTAAGGCATTTGCTGAAAACTACGGTGTGAAGTTTGACATGTACAGTAAGATCGACGTCAATGGGGACGATGCCCACCCGCTCTGGAAGTGGATGAAGGAGCAGCCCAAAGGAAGAGGCACCCTGGGCAAGTGAGTGTGGGAAGGGGAAGCTGCGGAAAGTGCAGCGGGCAGGGAGGGGGCAGGTCTGGGCTGGCTGCAGCAAGAAGAAGGGTTTTTTCTGCCACAGTCTCATTCCTGTTTTTTTTTTCTCTCCTAGCGCAATAAAATGGAACTTCACTAAGGTAGGATACAGCTGCCTTCTCCAGGGCTTGCCTGGGTCGCACTCTCGCCCTTTGGGGGATTGTGGGGAGTCCCTCATGCATTGCAGGGAGGAGGGATCCTCACATGTGGGCTCTGCTGTGTGTAGTTACCCTGGATGTCAGGGTAGGAGCATCCCAAGGGGCTCCTGCACTGTCCTGGTCCCTGTGCTTAGAGACCCTTATAAGCCCCTAGCCTGGTTATCTCTAGCCCTGTCCCAGAGTGGCAGTAACCAGCTGAGGGGGGAGGAGGTCTGCCAGGGGCTACAGCTCTGCAGGCAGGATCTGCTGCAGCCCAACCCCACCATAAGCAGCTCCCTAGGCTGCTCTGCTGCTCTCTGAGGGCTGCAGAGCCTGTGTTACAGCTGTACTTGCTCACCTGGATGCTGCTTCACTTCCACAGTTCCTCATTAACCGGGAGGGCCAAGTTGTGAAGAGGTACAGTCCCATGGAGGATCCCTACGTAAGTCTGCTGCTGGCACGGTTGGTGTTACAGCTCTGCCTGACCCATGGGAGAAGGGGAAGTGCAACAGTGCTGCCAGCTCTGCGGAGAAATGGCAGTTCTGGCACTGAGCACTGCTCCAGGGCAGGCTCCGCTGCTGTGTCTCAGCTCTCTCCTTCTTTTGGCTGGGGGTGGGAGGGGAGAAAAGACACCCCGGTGCTCTGGGAGTGTTGGCTGTGGCACCAGGGGAAGTGGGTGCCCAGCACAGGGTGGTTCCAAGCAGGCCCTCTGGGGTGGGATGGAGGGGGCTTCAGGCATGTTTTTCAAGCAATTGATGTTCTCATAGCACAATGCTCCCTTCTTTCTCGCAGATCATCGAGAAGGACCTGCCTGCCTATCTGTAGACCTGTTCATCTCGCCCCTGCACTGTCCCTTCACCCCAGCATCGGCCCTCCTGCTGCCTGTGGAGTCTTCTCATCCAGCCCCAATGACGGTCTGTCTTCAAGCCAGCTTGCTGGTGAGGCAGACCTGAAGATCTGGCGTGCACCTGCTGGAAGAAGGCTTCAGGGAGCCAGTGGCCGCTGCTGGGCAACTCTTTTCTCTGGGCATAGGGCAGGATCTGGTGCCCCCTTGCAATAAATATATTAGAAATGACCGGTTGTGGCTGGGTGTGGAATTGAGTAGTGGATGGGGCTGGATCTGCTGCGCTGCTCCTGGGGAGAACGTGGAGCTTTGCAGGGGAGCCAAGACCTTATGCAACTCCTGAGCTCAGCAGGGATAATCCTCATTAGTGCTGAGGGGGGAATTGCACACAAATCCTAGGTCAGCTGGTGCTCCCAAGGGGCTCCCACAGGAAAAGCCAGAGCAGGGGGAAGGTGTGTGTCCCCTCTGGGACTGCAGCTCAGATCCTTCCTCACCCTAAACCCAACAGGCATCTGCCCTGATGAGGCAACTGGGTTGTTTTTGTCTGAGCACAGCTGAAGGCTCACAGAGTACAGGCAAAGTCTAGGTGCCCAGCAGCACACCCCTGACCCCAATACCCCTCCTGGCCCTGGCAGGGCAGCAAAGGGGACAGTTCCAGCAGTGGCGCAAGCAATTACTGCAAAACAAACCCGAGTTGTGTTGGGACACAGTGAAATACCTCATATTGCCAGAGATGTGTCAGACCACAGGGTGCAGGCCCACAGGTGCATCCATCCTCCTCAGGAAATCTCAGCTGCAGCTTGTTTGTGCTTGCAAAGGCACCACGTTGTCTGGCCAAGCCCACAGAGGGCCAGTGTCTCCCGTGGGCAGGGAGAGCTCACATTTTACAGGTGATTTGGCATGTGGGAGTGCTGTTTTGCCTCTTTTTCCCCAGGCTCTGGCAGAGGTGCTGGGTCTCCCCTTAAGATCCACAGCCCCCTACCACCCTGGGAGCCCTGTCCTCAATGTGGGGCCAAGGGTGGAGTGGGGAAGAGCCCCATGGTCCTTGCTGGGGTCCCCCCAGTCTGATCCCCCCCACATAGCTGCAGCCCAGCACGTCAAGGATGCCAGGAGGATCCTGCTCCAGTCTGCCTGACCACTCAGGCCTCCCCCAGGGTAGGCCAGCTGGTTTCAGGAGCTGCCTCACAGCCCAGCTCGGTCTCACCGTGAACTCTTGTCAGCAGCACTGCAATGCCCAGCCACGAGGTACGAATTGCTCCACTACAATCGTCCGTGGCTCACCCCTGTCCCACCTCCTGTGGGGACAGAGCGGGGCCGGCAGTGCCTGGGTGAGATGTCCCGGCACTGCAGCGGCAACTGCTCGTGCTGGAGGAACACGCCTGAACAGTGGCTCCTTTATCTGTGTTTTCCCCAACAAAGCTGGGAGGGAGCAGCCTCATCGAAGGCCAGTGCCCAGGCTGGCTCCAGGGAGGATCCTCCTCTGCACAGCCCCTGCCCGGCTCGTCCCAGGGAGAAGGGGGTGGCTCAGGACAGCAGTCCTCAACTGCCACCAGGCTGGTGGCACTGGAGGTAAACTCCTGCTGCTGGTAGGACCCTGGCCCTCAGATTCCCTATCCTGATCTGAGTCCCAGATGGGATCCTGGGGCAGGTCTATACCTCTAGACAGACAGACAGACAGACAGAGAGCTGGGACTTACAGAAAACTTATATGTGGCTTCCTTTCCATTTTTACTGAGCAGAATGAAAAATTATCCTTCTGAGGCAAGTAGAAAATTCAGGAATTATTAGTCAAAGGCACATATTCTAAAAAAAATCTCTTTACATATATATACATCTCAATTGATTATAAATACACATAGAAAAACAAAGGCAAACAACAAGCAGATTAAAAAGTGCTAACAAAAAGGTGTAAGGGAAGAAAAAAGGGACTCATTTAAAAATACATACAATCAGTAGGACAACTGCATAATAATTTAGTTAAAAGATATCGTTACATATTATTAACCCTGACAAAAACACAGGATTGGGGCAGAGAAGGGCTTCCTTGAAGGTGCTCTCTGTCTTTCCAGAGATCAGGGAGGGAGAATTGCATATATTTTAAAATTAATATCAAAGCCAGCAGCTAAGGCTCCGGGTGACAGTGGAGAAGTGGCTGGCAGAGGGTGCCTAGCAGGAGAATTCCTCCTCGTTATTCCTGAGTTTAAACCTCTCTGAAATGGGTTTTCCCGGTGTCCTTTTCTCTCCTCACTGAGAATTCAGCAAGCGCTGAGCAAACGAACCAGGACATGGGTGAAGGCAGGGCCTCTCCACGAGTGATGTGGACTAGGACGTATTTTAAATAAGAGGAGGGTCTGGGGAAGGGGAGAGCCTTGCTCTGTTCAGGACTAGGGAAAGGCTGTTGCGGCACCCAGAGAAAGCAGCACTCCCCAGGCAGCCCCGCGGCGAGAGGTGAGCATGGCTGCCACGAGCAAAGCTGGGGAAAAAAGCACAAACTTCTCAGGGCAGCAGCAGGGTGGGGGCACACAGGGGCTCCCTGTCTTTGGTGTTTACTTTGAGGTAAGGAGGTTTCCTTGAATGCAGTAAAACGCAGCCCCGAGCAGCCCCGACTGCAGGGCTGATCTCGGCCAGGCAGGCTGGCAGGAGGCAGATGCCAGCTGGGGAAGGTGGGAGGTAAGGACAAGCCCCCAAAACAAAGGGCAGGGACCAGAGCAACCTCAAAAACAAGCCCACACGTGCATCGCACGGGGCAGGTCCATGGTCTTAATGTGTCAGGGAAGGCAGCTTCCGTCTAAGCAGGAGCACAAACACTGCGGACACTGACCCAAAGCACCTCCCAACAACAAACAGAGCACTCGGCCAGACCCTGAGCCCTGGGGGAAACATGGGGAGTGGGGGGGTCAAGGCTCTCTGCCTGGAGGAGGGGACTCCACCAGGCACTGTAAAGTTCCAGCCCCCTCAAGACGGACCTGTCAGGGCATTGGAGATCCCAGCAGAGGCCTCTCCTGGCTGGACCTCCTTCCCCAGGTCCTCTCTGAGGAAGGGCCGGGCCAGCCAGGGAAGGTCTTTCATCCTTCCCCTTAAAACATCCTGGTGCCACTTCTAGGAAATACCTCGATGACTCAAGGCAGAGAAAAGAAACAGCAGAGGGGAGGCTTGCGGAGGAGCTGCCAGGCCTGGAGCATTCCTGCCAGCAGGCAGCTTCCTGCCAGACTCCTTAGATTAAAGAGAGAAAACAAAAGAGAGTTTCCCCGGGACCTGCCGAGGTGAGATGCTGCTGGAACACAGATGGTGGCAGAAGTGGCTGGAGGCTACCTCTGTCCTGGGGAGAAGGCAGCTTGCCCAGCCGCTCCTGGCCGAGGGGCAGTGGGTTGTCTGGGGCAGTGCTTTGCAAAAAAGCAGCCCTTTGCTCTTTGGTATTGGAGGTTGAATTTGCAGCATGAGCAGTGATACTGCGCATCCTCGGTGCTCACCAGGGAACTCTTCCCTTCTGGGGCCTGAAAGCAGCTCTCACCAAGGTCAGTGGTGGGCAGGGCTGGGGATCCAGATCCAGACACCCAGGCCTGTGTCCATGGCCCAGCCAAGGACAAGCCCTACGGAACAGGAGCGGTGAGACAGCCAGGTGAAAGGCCACCATGCGATAGCAAGAAGTTGGACAAAGCACGGCCAGCCACAGCGACCTTCCGAGGCTAAAGTGCAGGACAGGCTGATGGGACGTGTGGCCCTTTTGCTCCAGGGAATCCCCCCATGGTCCCGGTGTGGCTAAGCTCTGACAAACTCACAAGCCTTGCCACCACACTGACAAACAAGGTGTGGGAGCAAGCAGCTCCTGCCCTCTGCTGCGGAGCTCAGGCAGCCCCAGAGGTGTCAGTGTCCCTTCCCAGGGAGGGCAGAGCAGGCACAGTCAGTTTTGCTTCTCTCAGCTACACCTGCTCAGAGGGACACTTGAGCTCAGTGGTTCCCAACTCCTCTTGGACAGCATTCCCTTCCCCTTCATGCCTGCCTTCAGACCCAGCCCTCCAGAGCAGCCTCAAGGTCCACAGCAGGGCTGGGGCAGCCCAAGAGGAAATCTGGCAGCAGCCAATGCAGATACAGTTGGTCAGCCAGCTCTCAGTGGGGACTGGGCTCTCACCCTTCAGTAACAGACCAGCATTCTGGTCACTGGGTTGTTTTGGAGACCAGACATGCCCCTGCCCAGCTCAGGGGGTAGCGGCCACATAGCTCTGGGCTGGAGGGCTGGGGAAGGCACAACCCAGCTCGGAAACTCAGTAGTCTGCAGGGGGATGGGCACAGAGGAGGGGACATCTCTCCTCAGTCCTACATGGGCACTGACCTTTGAGCAGGACTTGAACACAGCAGAGGCCATCAGTCCAGATCAGCTGAACTTGGCAGCACTCAACTCCCCCCAAGCGCATGTTATATACAAATCTATACATGCCTGACTGTATATTATATATAAATAAACTTTGCTTTAAGGAACTATAGGTTTCTTTTCTTCCCTCAGAAACAGAAAAGGGTTAGTCCAATCCAGTAGAAAAGCCGGGGCTCCCCAGCTCTCACCTCTGCACCAAAGGATATGGATCCACAGTGGCCGAGCATCGCCTGGCATGCCCAGATGGCTTTCAGAAGTCTGGGAAAGGCCCACTGAACTGGATCACACTCTGGCGCTCCTGGGGGACCATGTTCTCCTGCGGGGCCCCATTTAACGTCCTTAGCATGTCCTCCAGGATCTCTCTGAAATTGATATTCCCATCCTGTTGGACAAAATCTTCCTGCTGCTGCTGCAGTGTCTGCAAGGGTCCTGGGTGAGGCAGAGGCAGGATGGGGGCCGGGCTCTCGAAGGCAGAAGGGTGGCTGAAGCTAAAGGGTAATCTGTGCTGCTGGTGTGGCTGGAGAATGGACTCCGAGGCGAAGCACAACACACTGGGCTCTGGGTTCATTACCACATCGGGAATGCTGCTGCTAGGAGGGCTGCAGGTCAAGTCCAGGATCTCATCCTGGTGCAGGGAATGCCTGGGCAGGGGGACCCCAGGCCTCGTCTGCGTGAGGTCCGGGGGCTGTGGCAGGATGGGCAGCGTCAGGGAGAACTGAGGGCTCTGCTCTTGGGCCTGGAGGAGTTGGTTGTGCTTTCGCTTCACGTTCTCATCCATCTGCTTCAGCTCCTCCAGCACCTTATGGACACAGCTCTCTGGGATCTTTA